TACATTGTATCGTGCCGTCTTTCGTGTTCCTACGTGACTGAGCGCACGCTGCAGCGCGCACTTCCATTGCCAGCAACTAGTGTCGCGCCGCTGGTGATGTCACCGCAAGCTATCATTGAAGCCATGCGTACCGGTACTGTTCCCGCGCATCTCCAGCTTCAGCTCCGACAGCTTGATACAATGCGTGTGCTCCCACCAGAAAGCTTGCCACCACCCGCGAGCACGACAGTGCCCACCCGCGCAAGCAAGCAGATAGTATCGCAGGATGTCCGACCCCAAGATGCTGCTGCTGCTGCTGCTGCTGCTGCTGCTGCTGCTGCTGCTCGCAGCGACCTCGTCCGCCTCGTCGAAAGCAGCGATCCGGTCAAGCTGCGTCAGCTCTTGCAGCAATCCAAACCCTCTGCCAGTGAGCTGGCGGAAGCACTCCATGTTAGTGTGACGCTAGGGAAACTGTCCTCTCCGCACGAGCAAGAACAGCTGATTGAAATCTTGCTCGCGCATGGAGCGCCGGCCAACACCGTGGTCGCGAACAAGGGCGCTGCGTTGCATTGCGCCACCACCATGAATGCGGTTCGCGCTGTGCTCAACGCACCGAAAATCGATGTCAACTTGGCCGTTTCCATCGGCGGCCGTCCGACCACCCCGCTCCTCGCCATGGTCGCTGCTCGGCGGCTTGAATGTGCACAGACCTTGTTGATGCAAACCAAGCATGCAGTCAACGTGCAATCAGGCCACATTCTGCATGCCGTGTGTCGGAGTAGCAGCCCCGACATGCTACGCGCTGTCCTGAGCTCGTCGCATTTTCTGAAGCACTCCAAAGAGGTGCTGAATCAACCCGCGGCCGAAACTGGAGATACACCCCTTCATGTTGTTGTGCAACATCTTCCACGAGCACCTGCTGCCAGCTTGGAAATGCTGGAAGCGCTCTTGGATGCCGGTGCTCATGTGGACCCGGTCAATTTCGCGCGCCGCACCCCACTGTGCGAGACCATGCTTCTGTACAAGGTCACAACCAAGCTAGCTCCTGCACACGCTGCCATCCGACTGTTGATTCAGCATGGAGCAGACGAGCAAGTGCAACTGGGCCTGCGAAAGACACCAATGGTTTTGTGTCGCGATCGAGCGACGCTTGCTGTTGTTGCCAGCGAGGTGGCTGCTCGCACGACGCGCCCGTTCTCTCGTATGCAAGCTCGCTCTTCTCTGCAGTCTTTTTCTCGCGCGCCTCCATCAGCTCTCCAACAACCGGGTCGCGTCCCATCGCCTTTTGCCTCGGGTGTGGGTGCGCAGACACGTGCACCCATTCGTCGATTTCATCATGCAAGTTTCCCGTCGACCCGAATCTCTGTGCCGCGTGGCGTAGTCGTCCCGCTTCCGAATCTGACTCTCCCAGCTGCTTCCAGTCTTGTTGCCATGTCGCTCCGACTCGTGCGCTGCAAGCTGACCCCGCTCTAGACATTTCTCGCTTGTATGGATTTACGTGTCATCGCTTTTTATTTCTGTTCAGAGGGGCGGGGGCGGTCGCAATGTACGTCGCGAGCTCGTTCTTGTGCTTTTTTTTTGGGGCAAGGGAGTGTGAGTTCTTTTTTTTTTTTTTTTTTTTTTTTTGAAACCCGCCCCTCGCTCCTGATTTTGCCATCCCGCCCAGTCATAGCCCTCCAACAAAGTGCCTTTGATTAAATCCACTTCGAATAGTCATTGATCTTGTCTGTGTTTTTCGTCTCAACCACTTTGCTTTGCTCAGTCTTACTCCTTTTTTTTTCTTTTTTTTTTCTCTCTTCACAATGGTGTTGATCAAGCCAAACATCCCAACCGACCAGAAGAGCGCGGCCCACCACGTCTTCCGCCATGTCAGTCCTTCCACACCCCCCCTTCTCGACACAAAGTCAATTCTACACAAACCATACAAAGTGTTGTCATCACAGGAAGTGATTGCAATGCAGCAAAAAGTCAGAATTGCAAGGGTTCGCTCGTCCTTTTTTTTTTTTTTTTTTTTTCTTTCATTTTGGTTTTCGATCTTGGTTTTTCGGTTTGTTTTCCGAGTCAACCGGCTGCCCCACTGTTCGTTCGACGGACGAATGGATGAAGCAATCACATTGAAGATGAGGAGACGCACACCCGCCTGTCGACTGTCCTGCGTGTTTGCCAAAGCGCAGACCTTGAGTGGCGAACCTTTGAGCGAATGACTCGTTGGTTTGATTTTTTTTTTTTTTTTTTTTTGCTCACTCGTTGTTGTGCTGTGTTGTGCGGTTGCGCTCCTATCCTGTCGAATGCCTGACTTTTCCTCCCTCTGCCCCCGCCCTCTTCTTTTGTGCTTGTGGTCGCTGTTGCAGGTGAGAGAGGTACGCCTCGACCAACTTCAACTTGGCGGTTTTTATTGGAGATTCAAATCTTCAATCTTGTCACTTTTTTTTTTTTTTTTTTTTTTTTTTTTTGTGGTTCCGTTTCTTGTCCCTTTTCAAAATTGCACGCGCTGACCCCTTTCCCCCCCCCCCTCCCTCCCTCCCTCAACGTACTTTGTTGTTTGTGTTGCTGCATCCACAGATCGTCAAGAAGGATGATGTCGTGTACGACAATGACTTTTTCAAAATCACCCAGCCAGAGTCGTGGAACGTCGTATATCGCCTCAAAGGTGAGTTTGAAAAACAAACCCTAACAAAACCGAACAAAGTCACCATCAGCTCATCCTCACTGACTTTCGCGCGTCAGGCAAACTGGCACATGACAGCTACCGCATTCACTTCAAGAACTTTGACGAAGACAAGGTACAGTGATGTCCGAAACCATGCAATCACTCGAGTTGTTTTGTGTTTGGTGCCTCAGTGTGCATTTTTGGTCTGGTTTGGGAGCGCAGGACTTGATCATTGCGCAGTCCGACTCGTTCGAAGACATCAAGAACGACTGGGGACACTCTCAACAAGCGCTGCTTGGCGGTAACGCACCGACTGCTTTGAATGCTTGACGATTCTGGAAACACTGTCGCGGTGTCTCACGACGTCCTCCTGCATTTTGCTGAAACAGCTGTTCCAGAGCGATCCCGCCAAAAAGTTTCAGATTCTTGACATTCTTGAAAAGCTGCGTGCCTTGAGTAGGTTCCCACTCCGACGATTTTTGTTGTCGTTTTATTTTTTTTTTTTTGTTTTTTTTTTTGTTGTTTTTTTGGCGTCGTTTGAACTGACTCGCCTTCCACTTTTGTCATGATTCTCAGCTGGCAATAAGGGCTCCTTCCGCAAGCCCTCTGCCAACACGCTGCTGCTGAACCAGCGCAATGCCTTCGAGAACAAGCTGCGCGCTCTGACCGAAGAAACGGTATGCGTTTGCTCCAATCCTGCTCTCGACCGCAGTCTGTTTGTATTTCACTTTGTGTACTTTGCACAATCTACAGCCCGTCCAAAAGAATCTGTTGGATTACGACATTCTTCGCACGCTGGGCACAGGCTCGTTTGGCCGTGTGTTGTTGGCTCGCGTAAGAGACACTATTTCTTTTTTTTTTTGCTCATTCATTCAGGATGGGTTTTTTTTCTGCATCGCGAGCCCCCTGACATTCACTCCTTCACTCCTACTACACAGGACAAGCAAGTTCCGGACTCGTATGTCGCCATCAAGCTCATCAAAAAGTCTGTCGTCATCAAGCTCAAGCAAGTCGAACACACCATCAACGAGAAGAACATTCTTGCTTGCATCAGCTGTCCCTTTGTGATTTCGGTAACTGTCCTTCTGGTTTTAATGTTTGGCACACCCATACCCATCTTGTCTCTGTGCACCTGCTCACTTTCAGCCTGCCCTGCTCTCTCTCTCTCTCTCCCCCCCCCTCATTCACAGCTCAACACACACTTCCAGGACAAACTCAACCTCTACTTTGTCATCGAGTACATCAACGGCGGTGAAATGTTTACCCACTTGCACCGAAACAAGCACTTTTCGTACGAAATTTCAAAGTTTTTCGCCGCAGAAGTCATTCTGGCCCTCGAGTACCTGCACAACCTCGATATCGTGTACCGCGATCTCAAGCCTGAAAACTTGCTGATCGACTCCAACGGTCACGTTCGCGTGACCGACTTTGGCTTTGCCAAGCGCGTGTCGCACCGCACCTGGACGCTGTGCGGCACGCCCGAATATCTCGCGCCTGAAATCATCCAATCAAAGGGCTACGGCCATGCGGTCGACTGGTGGGCGGTCGGCGTGCTCATCTATGAAATGCGCTGCGGCCACGCTCCGTTCTACGACGCCAACCAGATGGACATGTACCGAAAAATCGTCGACGGCCAGTATTCCTTCCCTTCCAGCTTTAAGGAAGACGAGAGGAGCATTATTTCGGGCTTCCTAACCTTTGATCTCACGCGCCGCCTCGGAAACATGAAGGACGGCACCAAGGACATCCGGGACCACGTTTACTTCCGCGACACGAACTTTGACGACATTTACAACCTGCGTGTCAAGTCGCCGTACATTCCGAAGGTGGCTTCGGCTGGCGACGCGTCCAACTTTGAGCGATTCGAAGAGGAGCCAATCGAGTGGAACGATCGTGGCGTCGACCCCTACGAGGAGACGTTCAAGGACTTTTAGAGGCGGCCCCCTCCGTTTTTTGGTAGTTCTGTGTTTTCAGAGCTCTCTTGTGTTTTGATTTTATCGAGTAATCTTTTGTGTGTGTTTGTCGAGTAAACCAATTCGACCGTTCCATGAAGGCTCAAGAGCTGCGAAATGCATGTTCTGCGCTTTTTTTTCTTTTTTCCTTATTGTTCTTCATTGTTGTTTCCAGCCGCGACTTCGAGTCGAGAGGAATTCACACTGTCACATTTCAAACCCAAAATGCAGCTCGTTGCGAAAAGTCCAGCGGAGTGGAGCTGACCGAGATGCCAAATGCATCTGCAAGATTGCGCAGTCGGCCGCGATCGTACTTGTTGTAGTAGTCACCGTTGTCATCTTTGAGCCATTCGTATCGTTGCCAGTTTTGCTGTTCGTTGATGGTCAATCCATTCGAAGCGAGCCAAATTCCTTGCAGAAGAATCGTGGCGCCAAAGCAGACTCCTGCGTTGCAAATCAAGCAACGAATCAGTTTTTCGTCTCGGATTATCGGTAATCTTGAGCACTCACCACTCAGCGTGTAGAGGAACAAAAAGAACAGCACCGGCTCTTGCTGCGCAGCCATCAGCATCTTGGAGAACGTCCACATGAATCTGTAGGTGCAGAGCTGCTGAGCGTGGTGCCTTTTCCACCAAAGCACAAAAGATCATTGAGAGGCTTACGGATGACTCCAGGGAATGATTTCCGCTGTTGCGAGCTGGATAAAGTTGAACGTGCAGATCAAGAGACAGATGGCAGACGTCGTAAACGCAAGCAATAATCGCATGAAAGCAGCTCGATTGTTCTTTCCAACGCAATTGTTCAACCTGGACAACAAAACATTTGTCAGTGTTGTCATCGTTAAGGCGCTTACATGCCAGCACCGACCACATACCAAGGACAGTGATGATCAAACATGCTGACACATCGATTGCAAATTTTGCAATGCTTGGCTCGCGCTGGCTTGATGATCTGAGAACCAAAGATCCACGGATGGATCAACGCAAATGAATCACGGGCAAACAAGCAGCGCTGTACTGTCTCTTACCCAGCACGTTGTACACAAATTGCGTGGCGCTTCGCTCCACTCAGCATGAGTTGTGCGCAGTACATCTTGAGGATCCCCCATTTCAAGGTAGCCTGTGTTGTGAAGATGAGCGAGAGATGAGAGGATTCGGCAAAACTTTGCTTTGAACTCGCCTGGATTCGCCATTCTGGCCCTGAAGTACCAGTACAGCATAAAGCCGAAGGACGACAGGCCGACAACGCCAAGAGCCGGCTCATGCGTCAGCATAAAGTTCCACATGCGATGCACGGCGATCGTCACGTCAAGCACCATTCCGCAAAGAAACCAAGTTGTCATCCCTGGATTGCGCGTGTTGCCGTCAAAATCCGGGCCTGGCAAAGGTTGACAACGAAGTCTCTTTGATGAGTTTCATCAGTGGATTCAAAGACATACAACAACAATGTTTTCAACAGCTTGTACCGTTGGTTCGATCGAAGAGGAGCGGCGTGCCGCCCGCAAACATGACGACCACCATTCCCAGGCATAGCGGCCACGACAGCATCCAGTTCATATACGAGAGACTGGCGAGCATTGCTAGGTTGCATACTCTGCAAATGTTGCGACGAGTGCGTTTCAAGGTGAGCGGAACCAAACAACTCGGCAACACCCTAAGACGCAACGCGGACAGTTACACAGGCAGGAGATAGAACATCCACTCTCGCTGCAACCGATGCTTGAGGCGCTCGGTTTCAGTCAGCTGGAGCATGATCTGCAAACATGGTCCGTTGGAGCCTGGTGACGGTGAGATGCCATCGACCAACGGCAGTCAAACGAAATGAACACATACCGTTGTGGCCAAACCCGATCCGGGAGTCAAGCCAGACGGAAATTTCCTCAAATGACGCTGAATAAAGTCAACCAAGGTGGTGTGCTTTTTGCGCTTGGCGTGCTCTGTGTGTGGGAACGAGTGAAACGAAAATGAGAAGCGCCGTTTGAAGTAGAGAAGCAATGATTCAATTCCTCCAGCACGGCCGCACCAATGGCTGTTTGGTTGCTCGAATCGCGCAAGGAAGCATCTGCGCCGGCATCCAAGAGTACTTCTACGGCCGCCATTTGGCCTTGAATCGCCGCCCAGTGCAGCGCCCTAAAATGTCAAGTGACGTGGGTTTTCGAAAGAAAATGCTGCATCCACACCTCTACCAACGTAATATCAGCTGCATACGTTGTGCCTTGTGAATCTATATTGTCCAGCATTGCTCCAGCTCGAATCAAGTGCTTGACACAGTCTCCATGACCTTCGTAAGCAGCCCTGTTGTGAAAACGCTTGACTGAGCAGGAATCACTGCCATCCTCCAAGTCAAAATCAACAGCCATACCATGCAAGCGCCTGGTTGCCCTTCTGATCACGAGCTGCAATGTCAGCAGCGTGCTGAACGAGAAAATGAATCATGAGCAAATGGCCAAACTGTGCCGCCTGTACATAAGAAATGCGAGTGATCACCGTTGAGCAAAAGCTAGCCGTGAGTTTCTGTGTGGTGTTCTTGGTCACAACTTATGGTGGGTTGTTTCAACTGGTTCTGTAGACTTGACGTACCAGAATCAAGGGAGTGTTTCCCTTGGCGTCGCGCTTGTCGACAGCCGCGCCGCTCTCCATCAAAAATCGGGCGAGCTTGATGTCACCTACGAGCTTCCGTCAGTTATTTCGTTTTTTGACTTCCGTTGTTCCAGTCATGCATTCTGCAACATGCTGTTTCTCACCGTTTATCGCTGCAAAGTGCAGTGGTGCAAATCGGTCCGTCTCTGCTTGCGTGGCGGCATTGACATCCGCTCCCGCGCAGTGGAACAGATACTTGACGATGACAAAGTTGCCCCGTTGACAAGCATAGTGAAACGCTGCACAATTCATTGCAACGCGGTTGAGCACAGGCTGGCAATCAACTGTGAACAATGCTGCCGACAGAACGAAAAAAAAAAAACTCGTACGACTAAACCCCTTGGCATCGATGATGTGGACAGCCCCAGGATCGTCAGAGTCCTCAATTAGATCTCGGCAATAGTGCGCGTGGTCGGTACGTGCTGCCCAGTGTAGTCTGTCGGCTGCAGACGAGTTCAGCGTTAGTGTGTTGGGAGAGCGTTCATCTTGGCTTTGAGGTGGTTTTCGCTTTTGCACAAACCGCCGCGTTCAATCACTCGCATAGACAACGAAATATCACACAAGCAGCACAGTACTTGATGCAATGCACTTGGGAATCGTCCTGTCGCGCGTGAGGCGACACACAACGCACTGAGCAGGCTCCAACGCGAAAAGCTCCTCGGCGTTCAAACCGCCGAGCCCGGCGCCCTGCTTCACGCAGCGCCTGTCTTCCTCGAGCATTTTTTCGTCCTCTGGCAAGACAGCTGGGTGGGTTGAGTTCCACTGCTGCTGCTGCTGCTGCTGCAAAGTCTGGCTTGTGTCGGTGATGGCTAGAAACGCCGCCTTCACGCGAGCCGCCTCCACGCCGTTCCCAGCTTGAAGCAACTGAGGAACGAGGGCAGACGAAGCATGAGGTAGGACGACTCTGGCACCCGTCATTACTTTCAAATAAACCAAAACAAACTACGACTGCCAAAAACACAAAATTATAGCTTCGTGCTGCTTTGACTATTAGAAATACTGGTGTTTGACAACAGGTTTTTTTTGTTGGCGAAAACCCATGCCAAAACCCCAAGAGAAAACATTGAAGGAGCATCATGCACTCGCTGCCGTTAGAGAACATCACGCGTTGCAAATTCCAATGGGGGCTTTGCTGTGATGGAGGGGTCTTGCGGGAGGAGAAGTTCAGAGCCGACAGTGTAGCCAACGCACTGAAAGTACCCCGGGTCCTCAATTCGGAAGCTTGGTAGGGAGATCCCCGATGCGCTTCGGGTCAATGCGTTTCGAGCCTGGGCGTTGTGCGAAGAATAGGTGAGGTGCATCCACTGCTCGAGGTCGTTATCGCCAACCGCGGGAATGCCGAGCGCGCACAAGTGGGATCGCGCCAGGAGCGAGCTCGTGGTGGGAGTAGAGACAAACACCTTCCACACGGGGTTTGATGTCGTGCCGAAGAGCTCGTCAGAGGTGAGAAAGATGGAGGTGCGCACCTGCGGATTCAACCCAGGCGACGGCAACATTTGGTTGGTACGCGGCGCGACGACGCTTGACGAGAAACGAAGTTCCACCCATTCCAGCTGGATGGCGCGCACTTGCAGCTCGATGCGAGCCATGTGGCTGCATATTGGCGAGAGCGCCTCGAGAAACACGGAGGGAATGGTGATTGATGCCTCCGTTCGTTCGTAAAATTGAGCGACACGAGCAGGGAGCTGGGTGCGCAGCAGCATGGAAAGTGCCGAGCTACTCTGCACGGCCGTGGAAAAGTGAGTGGTGAGCTTGCGTGTGGAGAGGTCGTTCAGCAATCTGGTGCGATCGGATGCTCGCTGAGCGCTCAAAACCCAACCAGACACAGATCGTTCGAAATAACTGGACGCGAAAGCACTTGGTGGTGGTGGTGCAGCTGTACCGCTACCGGAGGCAGCAGGTGGTGGATTGAGAGAGTCGCTCTGTTGATTTTGTGGTTGCGGATTTTGTTGGTGCGATTGCGGTAGTGGTGGTGGTGGTGGTGGTGGTTCCAGTGACACACTGCCGAGAGGCCTTCCGAGGGCATTCGGAATGTCGACGTGATAAATGGCAGGGCGAGATGAGGGAGCAACAGATACCTGTGCCGACTTCCAGAACGACGTCGATAGCGCAAGCGCATCGGTCAGGTCGCTGTAAGCTGCTGTGCCAGCTGTTGGTTTGCTTTGTCGCAAGACTTGGGCCATAAACGATGTGCTGGTACCGAGAAGCAAGCGGCTTGCTGGCAGCTCCTTGTCCTTCCAGTACATGCAGAACGGACCAAACGTGGGCGGTTGGCGCGGCTCGGCTCCGTATTCAATCGGAGCAGCGTCGCTGTCCGAGAGTGCTGGTTGCGTTAAGGTAAAGCTCGTTGCTCGGTATGCCTCTTTCAGCCAAGTGGCAAAGGACAATCCTTGCCCTGCTGGAAACAACGAGGCGAGGTGGTACGACGCACGCGATCGGTCTTTGCTGGCGAATATCCGAAACATGCTTCGGGGGGCGCATAGCATGACGAACGTGTCTTTTCCGACGCGCTCCGACATGCCGATGGTTGGCAGCTCTCCCGCGACCGCCGCAGTCTCCGGTGAAGTTGGCAACTTGAGCTGTTGCAGCAAGAGTTTGACACGCGAGATTGGATTGATCCGTGTTTGGGTCGAGCGGCTCGCCATGGCCGCCTTAGCCGCCTTTTCGTTCCCATCGGATGATGATAATGCAGCAGACGATTGCTCGGCGTGCCTTGGCTGATGGTCAATCTCTGCCAGGGGCAAGCAGAACGCATGGAGCTCTGGTGTGCAGCATTACATTCAGGTGAGTTTTCAACCATCAGAACGAGAGATCCATCGACACAACGACCAGTTGATGGTATTACTTGTGAGTTGAGCATGCAACGGATCCTGATCCTTGTTCTGACGATGCTTAGAATGATGATGCTCGGCAGAATCACTGCCAAGAGCAGCTGGATGATGATGAGCAGCGAGCGAGAAGCCCAGGCCCAGAGCAGCAGCAAGCGGAGCATCGTCCGACTGGGCGATTTGCCCTGTTGCTGCTACTGCTGTTGCATCTGCTGCTGGTGCTTTATGAGTCGTAGGAGCAGCCTGATGGTTGGTCGCGGGGAGGACCACGAGCGGACTGTACGCTTTCGACAACGCGGCTGCTGCAGCGTCGACCACACGCTCGCCACGCTGCACCCACACCGACAGCAGCTGAATTTGGTCAAGCAACGCATAATCATAGGAGGTGAGTACGAAAATGGAGGGGCTGCGATGTTGAGGTCTCGGCGCTCTCAAACTCATGGCTTTGGCTTACTGGGAATCCGCGGCGAGTAGCACTGCTCATGCCAAAAAAATCAAAAGACTGCAACGTCAAGTCCTCCCAGCTTGAACTGGAAATTCAACTCAATGCGGCGGAGGGGAGGGGGTGGAGCTGTGGCAGTCAATTGTAAAGCACTCTTGGCTGAACTCTTGGCTGAACTCTTGGCTGCTGTGATCTCGGCTGAACTGCTCGAGTTGAAGATACGTTGCTTCATTGAATCCAATTACATTACAATACGCAGTCCTTATATTTTTGAAACTGAATCATTTTGGTAACAGTAACGCTGTGCTGCTTCACTTGTGGCAGTTGCATTGACGATTTGAGTGGGGTTTTGGAGCAAAGACGATCTGCTTTCCCCCTTTGCGTTTTTGGAG